TTTGTTGAATTTACCACAAAGCTGATTAAATCGGTGCAAGAGAAAACAAACTAAAAATCCCGCAGAAGAAAATATTTCGAAACAATGTCAGCTAGGCGTAAAATTCACTTTCTTGGTGCTAATTTCAACCACAATCAAATCACCTGATGAAGATAACACTTGAGAATGTTGTCGCACAATCAAGTAGGAATATAGTCGCCTACGGTGGCAATAAAATTTGGTAATCGTCACACTTTCCTCGATAAATTACTTGAATATTTCAGAAGCTAAATCAATGGAATATTTAATTAATGAAACTCGATGTTTCAACGAAGTTACAAAATGATTTGTATTCTAAATTGCTCATTCAATAAGATTTTGGCACCTTATTTGCATTTTGTATTCAGTGAGTAAGACATCGACATTTCTTCAGTTCAGCAGTTAATCATTGAACATTCGGAAGTCTGAAAATGTGCACTACTTCGTCTTTTCCCTGGCACCAATTTCTAGCGTGGATTTGTTTCAATTCCACCACCGCATGATTTTCAGGTGAATTCTAACACGACTCAAAACTTATCCGCGTTTTTGTCATGTCATTTTGACCAGGGGATTTTTCCCTTGTCACCCGAACCTGACGCAAGAACTCGTGAGGCACATTTTGATGTGCCGTTGTTTTTGAATAATCAAAAATGGCGGGTTCTTGCGTCAGCTCGATCAACAGCTGATATGCGCGCCATTATTTACACAAACACACGATCAAGAAAAAATCCCGACCTTGGAGCGATTTTGCTTGTGCACGAATCTGCATGTAAACACCATTCCCCCAAAGTTTTCCAAGGTTTGCACAGCGGACTCCGCCATCCTCTTTTTTTTTGGTTTTGGCAATTCCAAGAAAACATTCCACAACAGCCTTTCATTGAGTTGACGAGGCTGTTGTCCTTCCAGCTGGAGAGGATGGGGTTGGTGTAGGTTCTTGAATAGCCTCTATTTCCTGAGCTTCCCTTTTTCAAAAGTTTTATTGAATGAGTTCAAGTCTCCGCTTTGCATTTGTCAATCCTCGAAGCGGGATTTGCACAACGTCCCAATTATAGCTTTTTTAAATTTGGGGGGGGGGGGGGGGGCTTTTTCGTAGTGTGAAATTACCTGGCGATGGAAATCAAATTATTACAACAGAAAACGTGCAAAAACAATATTGTAATGTCATGTAAAGGCATCACCAGCTGTGTCTCGTGAAGTTATCGACCTCTTGATGTTACGTAATGGAGAGCTGACCAGAAACCACCTTTACTGCTGACTACCTTTATTTATTTGAGCGATTATCCTGATTGTGTCTTGAAGGTGGTGCAAGCAAGAAAAAGCTGAAAAGTGTTTCCAGAAGAAAGTGCATCAGCTATCCGAACTTAGTCTAGCGACTAACAAACTCCTGAATAAATTCACTTCGTGGAAGAAAACTAAAACTTGCCTCTAATTCCTGAACTGCCATAACCAAGCACCTAAGAGTAAAATAGCCCACATAAATTCCACTGCGAAAAAAAGAAGGAAGTGTCATTTTTGCAACAGTAAAATTACAATTGCTGTATCTGAAAGGTGTCTCGAATTTTCCAAGATCTGGTGGGAAAATACAAATCATACGTATTTGATGTCAGACTCTGTCTATTGAAACATCTATCTCACTTATAACATTTTGTTCAAAATTATCGTTTTCAGAATTTTGCCTGGTTCATATGTCCAAAAAAAAAAAAAGATGACATGAACATCGAAAATGATGGATCTGAGAATCTTTGTTTGCATCACACTTCAAAACGGTTTTTTCAATGCTTGCCAGACCTCCTGTGTTTTTTTTTTTATCATCCTGTCATATTTTATTTCGCCAGTGAACAATTGAATTCGTCAACCTTGAAATATTGTATCTTTTTCCTTTTCATGGTTTAAATTTTATGTCGATGTGTCATAGATGCGTTTTGATCCTCCAGTTGTATGTTATCTGCTCGGAAATAAATGGCTTCAAAATTAACATTACCCGATGTCGGGGATTATCAATGATATCAAGCGCTGATGAACAAAATTAAAAGCGAGTCGTCGTTTGTGTAATGATGTTCTTGGAAATTTTTAATTAAAAAAGAAGGAAAAATTGTAGATTAGTCCTTGTTACTCCTTGAGCATAAAACCTTTCGCCGACTCTGTGACTACGCTTCCCTTTGCAGGAGCGTACCCTTAGTGCACTGATTGCGTACCGTAGCCAACGGTCGTCAGTCGTCAGCTCCTTTTTTCTTTCTCTCTCTCTTTCTTCCGCTCTCTCTTTCAGTTCCACTTGCTTCGTATGACTGGCCATTCTTCCACCTTGCGTCATTCATTTCACCGCTGGGCCTTCTCAAATACATACCATACACCCAACATGAGATTTCCTTCATGGTATGAAAGTCCCCAAACGTGGAAAATTCCTTGAAATCCGTGTGCGTCATCTTTCGAGTGTTTCGTGCGTGTGCAACATTTTTGGGCAGCTGGAATAATGTTGGCAACGTGAGCGTCAGGCGTGTGAATTCACTGATTCGACTTGCGACTTTCTGAACAAACGGGATTTTCCTTTGTGTGATCGCGGATTGTCTTGGGAGGTGAATGTGTAAATGATTCGAGACCAGTTTGAAAGCTGAGCAGACGAAACATTTTGCTATCAAGTTTCCTTGGAATCGTGAATTTCAGGGTTCATGTTCTGAATAAGGTCTCGAAGTTCATTCAAGAATCATTTTTATTTCTTTAAAACCTTTTGGAATTCTGCTACGCCAGGTGTATTCTCAGTAAAAAATTTGGTAAGATTTAAATGGCGTTGTTCCCATCCATACGTGGTTAATCTTGACTCTCAGCTGTCTCAGAGATCTGGAAGTAATTGAGTCAATTGTGAAACGTGTCAAGTGATCCATTTTCATAAAGTGGGAAAAAATGAAAGGATACATTATTTATGCACAAAAATGTGGTTGTTTCAGGTGTTGCCCCAACTCATGGTTCTTTTCAACCTCGAGTCCACGTACTTCTTTAGCTGACGAAGGGTTGCCTCGAAAGTGACCGATAATCTCAACACACGCGTTTTTGGATGCTATTATCGCGAGCTTCTCATTCACCCACAGCAATAATCAAGTGAGTTGTTTGACTTCATTGACACAGACGTGTAGCAGCGTTTTTATCGCGAATTAATCTCTTCATGAATACTCACAAGAGGCTTGTGGTGAGCCGATTAATGAACCCCTTGAAGGTATTTTCTGTTCAGGAATACTGTGTAATGTTGCTTTTTTGCATAAACTGGTTTACTGTTGCTAAGCTCATTTAATTGTGAACGATGTCAGATGCATTGACGTTTTTGAGGTTCTTGCGTTGAGGGAAATGAATTGTTAAAAGACATTTTTTCATTGTTGCTTGTTTGTCATATGTGAGAGATTGCTGTTAAAAACATAAAAAATATTCAACCCCTTTTTGTCACGAATTTCACCTGAACAAATAAATTTCAATCCTGATACAGGTGGACTCTAAAATTCTTCTATACAATAATTTTCTCTGTACAACATTTTTTGTTGTTGACCCCATGTCACAGCAGTAAAATTTTCTCCACAATAAAGCAATGCTTCCTGGTCCTTCAAATTTTGTTGTAAAGAGAGTCCACCTGTGTACAAATCCTTAATTTTCAGTGCCTGTCCTGATCAGTGCCAAGAAATGGTTCATGGATGGTAGAACTAAATTTAGGGTTTCCAGTAGCATGAATATTTGCTGGCACATAGACTGTACTTTAATGCAGAGTGAAACACGCAATTATGTCAGGCAAAAAATTTTTTCTCTCAGATTGATTTGATGTGCTTCAAACCAGTGTTCCTCATCCTGTGGTCTGTGAACCAGCATTGGTCCACAGAAATTTGTTCATGGTCTGTGGAAAGTTTTCTTATGCAAAATAAATTCATCGAAAGTAGCACTGAAGTCTGTTATCTTTATCTGCAATTTTGGAAAGACAATAGGCAGGTGAAATGACCTGATGAGAAATAAAAGTAGGATTTCTCCAAATAATGTTTCAGACAAGGTATTATAACTGCTGAAATGAATTATTTCATTCTTTTAATTTGAGGAACCTTTCTTCAAGCCTGCCTTTCTAATTTTTTGAAAACAATCCACTGTAGTGGCTTCAGTTGCTCTTGACTTGATTTTTGAATACCTGCCATTAAGTCTTTCAAGCAAAACATTTTTGAGTCTGCAATAGTTTGATTAAACTTGGCTGGTCCGCAGAACAAATTTACCATTCTGCCAAATTTTATGGAAGTTTGCCAGTTGTCAGCCCAGAAAGGTTGACAAACCCTGCTTTCAACTATCTAGTAATCTAGCTCAGTGTTCCCCAACCCACAATCCATGGACTGGCACAAGTTTGCAGAAGTTTTTTGCTGGTTTGTGGGAAATTTTCTTCAGCGTGATCAATTTAAAAAATTAGCAATGAAGTCTTATTTCATCTCATTTTTCTGAAAGACATTGACAGTTGAAATAATCTGATGAAAAAGGAAAGCTGGTATTTCTCCTAATAACACTCCAGACACATTTTCACCTGCTGAAAGAAATTATTTTAATTTTCAATCAGAGAAACCTTTCTTCAAGCCCACCTCTCTGATTTTCTGTAGGCATCCCACTATAATAGCTGCTTCATTGGTTCTTAATTTATTTTTTGCAGAACTGCTCTAATACCTGCCATAAAGTATTTCAGGCAACATTTGTTTGAGCCTGAAAAACTTTCCTGAAACTTTGCTGGTTCAGAAAAAATTTTATGGAAACTTTCTGGCCCGCGGACCCAAAAAGGTCGGGGAACACTGATTTAGCTCATTCTTATTGAAAAAATTAGAGCAGCTGTTGATATGTGATACATGTTGGAGTGGAGTACAGTATAGCTTGTTACACTAAACATCTGAACCTGCCCTGTATACATATTAGCCGCTGAATTCGCACCTCGTCAATTTCGTCTCTGACGTCGAATGCATCTAATGCCACGCTGCTTTTAGAAAAAAAAAATAAATGAAATTCTGGAAAAGTTTCCTCGACATGATAAGGTTTCTCACAGAATCAAAATGGTGCATCCTGAGCTCGCGTTGGCCGCTTCCAACAAGGCGATGTCCAGCAAGGCTTCTTCGGGTATTGCGATCCCGGTGCTGTCAAAGGAGCGCACAAAAGCCATTTGGCGAAAAGCCGACGCAGTGTGCTTTGATGTCGACTCCACTGTGTGTCCAACGGAGGCCATCGACGAGCTGGCGGCGTATTGCGGCAAGAAGGAAGAAGTGGAGCGCGTGTAAGTTTTTCTTTTCTTTCTTTATTTCATTTAAAAAAAAATTTCGTTGTTGAAAATTGTGTCTGACGTATTGTCTCCGATGGAACATGGACGCATTGTTCGATCAGGCCATCGTTCTTCCCTTGTTTTCAAAATTCGAAATCATTTCTTTATTTTAATTTAAAAAAAATTTCGTTGTTGAAAATTGTGTCTGACGTATTGTCTCCGATGGAACATGGACGCATTGTTCGATCAGGCCATCGTTCTTCCCTTGTTTTCAAAATTCGAAATCTTTTTTACTGCGTATGAAGCATTGACCCTTGATACCAGGAAGTCGAGTTTTTCTCATCGGAAGTCTTCGAGGAAAAATTTTGGTTGATCATATCGTGTCAGAAGGATTCTGACCTGACGCGATATTGTATGGGGGTGTTTTTTTGTTGTTGTTGAGGTAGAGTTACATTTCCAAGAAGCATGGTTTCTTTCAATTATTTGAATGAAAGCCGGACGAAATCCTTACGTAAAGCTTCGGGAAGCCAAAATTTTCCAACCAAAATTCTTGGAAGCAGAATAATTCTTGGAAAATTCACTTGCCTCTGGGTTTTCACAAAGTAATTGTAAAAAATTTTATTCGGTTTCTGTGAAGTGACTCGGGACAACGTAATTGGCAGTATTGAAACTCGAGACCCCGTTTTAGACAGGCTAAAGTAATAATGGTGTTATGGTGCAATAAAATGCTGATTGAGAACATTTGCAAGATATCCAAAACAAGATCACCGAATCCAGTTTATTAATGGGATCTGAGTATCTGTCCAGTATTCAAGTTTCTTAGCAGCAATGGGGAAAAAACGTACCGTAATCGTTCTCGCTTTGTCAACAGAAATATTGGGAAATATCAGTCGAGAAGCAACGTTATCGGAAATTGATTTCAACTTTTATAATTATGACTGTTCAAGTTACGCAAGGATTGTTACGTAATTTTATCGTAGGATTAATTTTATTGAAGCAACACGTTACTGTATTCAGCAAATGAACATTTTTCCATCGAAAGGTTTTAATAAAAATTTCATTTTTTGGTGCCTTTTTTCACTTTCAAATTGAGCGCGTATTGCTGTTCGACAAATGAGGGTTGAAATGGACTATTCAGGTTTTACACATGATTTTCTTTCTAGAAGATTTTCTAAAAATTATAAACGTACCATGAAAATACAAGAAATCCAGTCTATGAACAAATTAAATAAGCCGGAGAACAGTATATTTCCTACGCAAACATTTTCCAAAATATCAAGAGACCTTTCGTAAAATGATATTTGAATCCGCACTAGACTGGATTGCACTCATGAATAAATCTCCTTGAACACTTCTCTGAATAAAAAATAATGCATTATGAATAATGCGGTATAAATTTAATGCCATTTTTATTTGATGCTCGTGGTTTGGTCTTACAAAATCGCTAATTTGTTTCCACTTGCACATTTTCCCTCATTTTGTGACCGCGCTCTTTTCGAACATACTAAGCTGCCTTTGGAAAAAGTTGTTGCTAGCAAGGCAGTGTTATTGAGTGAAAATTAAACGTTTGATTTGAGTCATTTAACTAATCTGGTGATTATGTCGCGATTAGCTGGCTCTGATTACGTGGGAACAACGAATATGCTTGCGTACGTGATTTTAAACTCGCACAACAGCCCGAACTGTGGTCTACGTGAATATTTGGGTCTTTCGAGTCAGTGACGTAACACTGTTCTCACGTTTTGCCATTTACGTGACAGAGACTTCGTATCTTCAGGTTTATATGCGTTAAAGTAAACGAACATTTTTTGTAAGTTAAATGACGCATTCATGTATTTGTACGTAGAAGCACATTCACACTTGATCATTAATCCAGGTGGACTCTCTACAACAAAATTCAAGGAACCTGCAGAAAATACTGTAATTCGTTGTAGGGAACCTCTAAAATATGGGGAGAGGACTCTGTGGAACCAAAAAAATCATTATGAGAAGGAAATTGCACTGAGACGATCTTTTGGACAAGATCGTTTTAGAAAGAGTCCACATTAGTTTTTTTTCGGCTGTAAACGTTAGGCGTTTCATTGAGAAAGCAAAATCAAGAGTACTTCACTGTACTTCGTTATACTGGCGCGATTTATCTGGAAATCTTCGGTTTCCGCGGCTCAGTAACCGCTGTCAGTTCAAGGAGCATCAAGATTATCTAGCCTGAGAACCTGATAATTTTTTTTAATAAACCAGAAAAAAGATATCCTGTAGTTCAAAGTTCTTAGGAAGCCACGGTCAAGGTTCAGGAAGAAACATTTCAGAGCTTCGTCTTCGTTTTATTTTTAGAACACGGGAGGCCATGGGAGGTGCTATGGATTTTCGAGAAGCACTGAGACGGCGACTGAATATTATCCAGCCTTCGAGAACCCACATTGCGAAGTTTCTCTG